CTTTGAATTTATCAACGAAATTTGGACACAACAACAACCAATTTTACAAAAAGACGATGAAAATCTAAACTTCCTAGTTCACCGACCAATCCTTTGAATTTATCAACGAAATTTGGACACAACACACATAACATCAGATTACCAGCACTCACCAAAAATCACAGCAAAACACCAAGAATTAGATTTTTAATGATTTTTCAAAGTTTCTGCCCAGAACTTCAAATAAACATTTGACATAGCTACAGATCTCATTTCGACTTGAAATTTTTACACCACACATATCACTATCAGAGAGTCATACAGATCAATTTTCACAGCAATTGGACGAATACACAATTTATAATGATTTTTCAAGCGCTCAGCAGCAAAAACCGATTCAAGATAGCATAGATAGCAAATTAATCCACAACAACATCTAAGGCCTTCACCATGAGGCCAAAGACTTCAAATGTTCCAGTAATCCACATCCATATTCACGATTTAAGCATAATTCATATACGAACGCAAATAACGAACGTAATACGAAATCAATCGATTATAATTAAAACCCTAACATGCAATTCTCCTGAAGGCTTACTATCTAACATATTCAGACATAAAATAAGGGGGTGTTTAGACAGCCTTGTACCGTTATCGGGGAGATTTGCACGAAGGAGGGTCGAACGGGCGAGGAGGGTTGCGATGCGATCGTACCGCACGGCAGCTTCGTGTGGCGTGCTCGTGGGCTGGCTTGCGCGTCTGCTGGAGGTCGCCTGTGCGATCACAGGGCGCTGGATGGCGACGGGGAGCACGAACAGCGCTGGCCTGGGGTGAGCTACGCTCGCGATGCTTGATGCGGGAGGTCGTCTGCGGGGTCGCTGGCGACGGTGATGGGCAGCGGTGGTACTGGGCTCTCGAACACAATCAGGAAGGGGTCGACGACGGCACTGACCACGCGAACAGGGCCAGCAGCGAATAGCGATATGCGTCTTGCGACGGACAGCGAGGGAGGCGATGGGCTGGGGCGACGTCGCGATGGCCACGGTCGATGAGCGACGGCGGCGATCGGAAAAGAGCGGAAGAGAGGGAGTGCGAGAGAGATTGAGAGAGATGCGATCA